CTGATTTCAAAAATAATATTGTCTTTTTTCTATGAGCTTCAGTTTCCAAGATATGATATATATGATATATAAGGAATGAAAGTACAAAAGAGTAATACAATTCAGAATGTTATTTTAATGAGATATGCCAACTCGTTCATACAAACTTACAAGACCCATTTGGCCTTAGTTGGGACATTAGTTGACACAGTGAAAAGTTCTTTTCCGTGACGACCTACAATGGACCTGGTTTCGGCAACTTCTTACCAAGTTCAAAACTAGAGCTGATACAAAAAATGGTTTGCAGATTTGAAATCAGCGCAAAAAATACTATAAGAATCAGCTCTAACATTTGATACACCAAATAAAAAAAATTTTTAGGCCTGTGTTTTTGGTAATTATACATATATAAATACCGATTGATTATTGGTATAGGTCTAGCAAAAAGTGTGAGAGTAACGAAATGTAAATTTGAGTATGAATACAATCACAAATTAGATACTAATTTCATTCACTTTTTATGGTGATAAGAAAATTAATCAACCAAAAATACAGTCCACTAATTAAAACACGTGATCTCCCCTAAGATACATAAAGTAAAATCAAATATTACCCAATTGTGTTATATTGACAGGCATTTTATCAAGTAAGTCAGGAATTATTGTACTCTGACCAGAAGACTATACAGTGTGTCCCAGAACTCGTGGCGAGTTTTTACTTTTTTACTAGAGTTTATTAAATATTTCACCCTAAAATTTTTATTAATTAATGAAACTTGCTAAGACACTTAAGCACATTTTTTAAAAGAGCTTCTCAAAGTTGACCAATTTTAAAAGTTTTATTTTCATAGTTCAACAAGAAGTGTTATTTGTTGAAAACTTGTTGCAATTATGTCATTATTTTTTACTGTGGTCCTAAAAGTGCTATTCACTTCAAAGACTTCGAAGTTTAAATGATCAAAAATAATAAAAAATAAGCATAATAACCAAAAACTGGTCACAATTTTACCAAAGCTCTTAGGTTGCACTTGAAAGCTCATAATTTCCCAACAACATGTCATATTTTTTGCCAATTTTTTCAGGACAGTTAAGGTCAATATTCTCACCCTGTTGAGTTTTGGGTCACTCTGTACAAATTTAAATTTACAGGGTTCAAGATGTTAATAAAGCGAATTTTCACGTAACTTTTATAACAAAAGTTTATATGAAAAAGAATTGAGAGTAAACGCAATTAGTTTTATAATCAAATGTTAATTTAATGGCATACCATTACACACACAAGCCAAAATTAAGGTAGTTATTTAATGTATAAAGTTTTACATAAAAATTTTTAAAATTTTCACAATAGCAAGTTCAATTTATTATTCTTTCACACTACGTGCATCTGAATATGTATTCAAATATAAATTGAAGCAAAAACATAGTTTCAAATATAGAACTTTATGAAACAGAACATTTTGTAATTACATATGCGCATTTTCAGAAAATTTAACTGGCTGAAAACGTATTCGAACAAATACGTGGGCACGACAAGAATTTTCATGTATATGTATTCAAAGAACCACAACCATGTTTTGTATGCCGTTAATTAAACGTTGTATTATCCTTTGACATTAAAATAGCAAAATTAGCGTTGTTTAATAAATGTAAAGGCAAAACCGTGATTGGACTAATGAAACATTTGAATTTATGGCATGATTTAAATCAAATGTATTAAAATTTGAGTTAGTTTGCAAATTAGGCAAATTATCAAAAATGTTTGAATGGTTAAATTTTAATAATGATTCAATTCTTTTTTCCCCGTAGACGGGGTAAGATGAGACGGCCAGGGAACAAACAACCCAATGTCTTATTTTAATTTCAATGGGATTTAACAAAGAAATAGCTACGTTATTCAGCCAATAAAAAATTTAGACTTTATGGGTACATTTTTGTACAGTACAGAGATTGTACTGTATTACAACTTAATTTAGTTTTTATTTTCTATTATTTATTGTTTACACCTTTGCCATTGTTAAGGTTTAGTTGGTCCCTCTTGACCCTGGTGGTGAACCTTTTTAACCGCGGACCTTTAAGCCCCGCTCTACTCCGAAGTTAAATTTGATATGTAGAAAAAAACTGTGAATATATTCAATTTTAAAACAAACTTATTATCAAAGATATTGCTGTACTAATATAATGCTACCGCATTAAAAATCGGTTAGCCTCCACATGGATAAACTCAAATTATCCCAAAATTTCCATTTATCAATGACGTTAGCATCAAATCAAAGTATGCATGCAAATTTTCATCCTTCATCACATGGTATAGAATAAGCAATTTCTAGTTGACATATTCATACGCCCCTTAAATTCTGCAGATACGTAAAAAACAGCAAAAATAATCTCAATTTGATGTCACAAAAAGCTGGACTTTAAGCTACCATTCAATTTTTTGTCAAAATCACAAATCAGAATATATTATAAGACACTGTTTTGAAGGATCATAAATCAATAATATTTAAAATACATAAAAAACTTCACAAGGAAAGCATGAGATAGATTACTTTCACTATCATTCTTATTGATAGCATATTAATTAAAACTATCTATATATATTATTAATATTATACAGTCAACATTGCCTCAATTCGAATTC